AAATCATCTGACGACAACCATCATGGGCTGTGTGGTGTTAATGAGTGATTACATTTTGATTTGTTATCAAATCATCTGACGACAACCATCATGGGCTGTGTGGTGTTAATGAGTGATTACATTTTGATTTGTTATCAAATCATCTGACGACAACCATTATGGGCTGTGTGAATTCGACAAGTGATTACATTTCGTTATTATCAAATCACTTGACGACAACCATTATGGGGTATGTGGATTCAACAAGTGGTTCCATTTGGATATATTATCTAACTATTTGTACCTATTACAATTTGAATAAAATGTAATCTGTTGAGGTTTAGACTAGTCAGACTTTTGTGTATCAAACTTTAAAAATAATATTTTTTGTAACGTCAAGTTCGTATTTTGTTGTAACAGTTGTCAGTTTATTAGTGTTAAGCATACATATATAAAATACTTGATACCAAAATAATAATAGGCTTAAATTAGTCTAATTATGAACTTTCTTCTCAAAGAATGCCCCCTCCCCGATAGTTCAGTGGTGTAAGTCATGGGCTTATAACGCTAAAAATCGAGTTTTGAAACCTGCGGTAGAGAGAGAGAGAGAGGGAGAACAGATATCCCATTGTGCAAAGTTGCGCTTTACAACAAACAATCATAAAAAAAATAACCAACTTTTTTTAAATTGCTTATTCACTTAAGTAAAGGAATTTCGCGAAAAGCTACTCAAGGCCTATTTACTCATAACCGTCCATAATTTGGAACTGACAGACTAGAGAGAAGAGAAACGGTCAACAGCACCCATCGCCAACCGACTAATGGGACTTTACCATCACTCTTATAACACACCCCCTGCTTCAAAGAGCGGAACGCGATGTTTTTTGGGGGGATAAGGAAGCGGTAACGTAACCCGAATACTGGACCCAGAATTACACAGTCCTTCAAATCAACCACTAGGCCCATCTTCAAAGGCATCTGTTTATCTATACGGAGCTGGGTTCTGTTTAATTCTTAAACTCTTTGTTAACGCGGCGATATACGTTAACCGTTTGGGTACAAGTTATGACGTAAAAGCAGTATTTTAATGAAAGAAATTCTTTCTTTTGAAAAAAATCTGTATGTACCACATTAGTCAATAATATCGTACTTGCAAACTTAACAGACATATCTTTTTGAAATGGTTTATTTCTCGTTCTTTTGTTGCTATACCCACTGCGGGAATGGAAACGCTGGGGGACATTTTATTTATAGACTACGATTTAAACATATATATATTATTTTGTTAACTGTTTTATTTAAACATTCTACTGAGGAGTTTTGTTGTTGTTCTGCGGAATTTTTTATGTTTGTTCAATTTCGCGCAAAGCTACAGGAGAACTATCTGCGCTAGCCGTCCCTAATTTAACAGTGATAAACCAGAAGGAAGGCAGCTAATCAACACCACCGACCGCCAACTCTCGGGCTACTCTTTTACCTACAAATTATGGGATTGGCCGTAACATTATAACGCTTCTATAAATTGTATAACTTTTATGCTGTTATAGCTTATTAGAAGTAAGTAGAAATATTCAAATAAGTTTGAATGATTCGACTGCAAATATTTTTATCATCACCAGAGAGGTTTTCATACATAACAAAATTATCACAAGTTTGAAACATATAAAATAACTATTTTAAACCTTCTAGTTTCATATTTAAGTCTGAGAATACTTTCTTTTTATTTGCTATGGTGAATTCATTATTATTTTGTGAGTATGAGTAAAAAAACCACAACAACAAACAATTAAACTAAAAACAAGTCAGGATTCTTAAAGTTTAAAGTAGAGAATGCCATATCAATGTTTGTTATGAATTTCGCGCAAAGCTACACGAGGGCTATCAGCACCAGCCGTCCCTAATTTAGCAGTGAAACACTAGAGGTAAGGCAGCTAGTCATCACCACCCACCGCCAA